AGGATGTCAGAGGACTCAGACACCAGCCTCCCATCGCGGGTCTCAATCTTCTTCACAACCACAGCCTTGGTGGAGCTGGTGCGGCTGATGGAGCTGGAGCCCGCGACAGAGCCAAAGCTGGAGCCCAGGCCATAGCTGAGGCCGGGGCTTGTGAGGCCCCCATAGGCAGAGCTCAGACCACCTGCATAGCCGCTGGTGGTCTTCGTGTGGATACTCATGTTCTGCATCCCGGACTCCAGCCGGCTCTCCTCGCCCTCCAGTAGCTTGCGGTAGGTGGTGATCTCGATGTCCAGGGCCAGTTTGACATTCATCAGCTCCTGGTACTCACGCAGCTGCTTTGCCATGTACTGCTTGGCCCGCTGCAGGGCGGCCTCCAGCTCCTTCTGCTTGTCATGAGCATCCTTGAGTGCCCGCTCCCCGCGATCCTCAGCATCTCTAATGGCAGCCTCCAGGGAAGCCCTCTGGCCTTTGAGGCCCTCGATCTCAGCCTGGAGCCGGCTGATGTTCCGGTTCATCTCGGAGATCTCAGTCTTCGTACGCCGCAGGTCATCCCCGTGCTTCCCAGCCAGCATCTGCAACTCCTCATACTTGATCTGGTATATGCTCTCCGCCTCAGCCCAGCTGCGGTTGGCGATATCCTCGTACTGCGCCTTGACCTCGGCAATGATGCCATCCATGGCCAGAGAGCGGCTGTTGTCCATGGACAGCACCACAGACGTGTCGGAGATCTGGGACTGCAGCTCCCGGATCTCCTCTTCATACAGCTGCCTGAGGAAGTTGATCTCGTCAGTCAGTCCTTCCAGGCGAGACTCCAGCTCTACCTTGTTCATGTAAGCTTCATCCACATCCTTCTTGATGAGGACAAATTCATTCTCCATCTCTGTACGCTTATTGATCTCTTCCTCATACTTGTTCTTGAAGTCCTCCACCAGCCCCTGCATGTTGCCAAGCTCCGCCTCCAGCTTCAGCTTCTCCTGGCCCAGAGTCTCCAGCTGCCGCCCCAGGTTGTAGATGTAGTTCTCAAACATGTTATCCATGTTGCTCCTAGCCGTTTTCTGCTGCTGCAGGAGGCTCCACTTGGTCTCCAGCATCTTGTTCTGCTGCTCCAGGAACCGCACCTTGTCGATGAAGGAAGCAAACTTGTTGTTGAGAGTCTTGATCTGCTCCTTCTCCTGGGTATGCACGGCCTGGATGTTGGGGTCCACATCCACCTTAATGGGGTTCAGCAGGCTCTGGTTGATGGTGACGGCGGTGATGCCTCCCATGCCTATGCCGCTGGCCCCAAAATAGCCTGCACCCAGGCCACCCCGGAAGCCACTACTGCTCACTCGGGAGAAGCTCAAGCGGGCACTAGGCCCACTCGTTAAGGAGTGGCTGCTGAAGGCCCCGGGGCCAGAGGTGGACACCTTGTAGGACTTATGGGTCACCCTGGTGGACATGGTGGAGGCAGGAGTGGAAGCAGGCGAGCTGAACTAGGGAGAGATTCCAGAAGGAGTGGAGAAGCTGCTTCTTCGAATATTTCTTTCTTTCACCAATTCGCCTTGCCTCCCGCGACTCGCCTTTTTTTTTTTGAGACAAGAGTCTTGCCCTGTTCCTCAGGCTGGAGTGCAGTGGCATGATCCTGGCTTACTACAACCTCTGTCTCTCGAGTTCAAGTGATTCTCTGCCTCAGCCTCCCAAGTAGTTGGGATTACAGGCACGCACCACCGTGCCCAGCTAAATTTTGTATTTTTAGTAGAGCTGGGGTTTTGCTGTTTTGACCAAGCTGGTCTTGAATTCCTGACTTTAGGTGATCCACCCAGCTCGGCCTCCCAAAGTGCTGCGATTACAGGCGTGAGTCACTGCGCCTGGCCCTTTTTTTTTCTTTGACTAGTCTATTAGTTATTTCAAAGAAGTAGCATTAATTCTATTGAACCTCAATGTGTTTCTTACAATGCTACTGAGGTATAATTTACACATAAAATTTATCCATTTACAAAAATGAAAGTTTACAATTATTTTTGGCACATTTACCAAGTTATGAAATTGTCACCACTGTGCAGTTTTAGAACATTTTCATCACCCCAATTAGACTGTTTAGTGTTCATGTACAGTTAATTCCCATTTCACACCAGCTCCAGGCAACCATTAATCTACTTTCTGTCTGTATGGATTTGCCTTTTCTAGACATTTCATATAAATGGAAATTTGTAGAACACGGGGCCTTTTGTGTCTGGCTTCTGTCACTGAATTTTATTGAATGAACCTCTTTATTTTTATTTCTTATTTATTTACTTATTTTGAGACGGAGACTCACTCTGTTGTCAGGCTGAAGTGCAGTGGTGCAATCTCAGCTCACTGCAACCTCTACCTCCCGGGTTCAAGTGATTCTCCTGCCTCAGCCTCCCGAGTAGCTGGGACTACAGGCGCATGCCACCATGCCCAGCTATTTTTTGTATTTTAATAAAGACGGGTTTTCACCATGTTGGCCAGATGGTTTCGATCTCTTGACTTCATGATCCGCCCGCCTCGGCCTCCTAAAGTGCTGGGATCACAGGCATGAGCCACCGTGCCCGCCCCCCCCTTCCCTCCTCCCCTCCCAGAAGCTGTCAGAGCTTGTCAGAGTCTTCTGACCTTCAGAGCCCTCCAGGCCTACAACATTCTGGGAATTCAGAGCCTTCATCTCCTAGCATGGAAGCAACCCTCCTGGTCTCCCCACCCGCTTCATTGGCCAAATGTTCTGAAACAAATGAAAGGCCTGCCTTTCAGCATGTCCTGGGAGGTTCAGACAGCACACTCAATGAGAACAGTCAGCGTTGAGTGGCATTTGCTTCCTTTAGAGATAAAGACACTCTACAATTCCAGGCACTCCTGCAACTGTGGAAGCATTTTCTGGACGGCCAGGACACCCTCTGCACCGACCACTACCAGCATCGCAGGCTTCTTTAGCTGGCTTTCCCAGCCGAAAACCGTGCTTGCTGTTTGCACATCGCTCAAGGGATATTTTCGAACAAAGCATCGAGGAAGGGGCAAAAACACATCAACATGGCCGTTCCCTGGGGTTGGGGATATTGAAGTGTGACATTAGCAAAGACTCAATTTGTTTATGAGAGAGGGTCCCCATAATAAGCCTTGCAGACTGCCCGTCCCCCCGCCCTCTCCGTAGATTCAGGTACAAGCATGTTATAACCGTCTAGAGGACAAACAGGCAACAGTAGCAGTGAAGTGACCCAAGGGGCCAGGATCCAGGATGAAGGTGCTCAAAGAAGACTTGAGTTTGATCTGTATGTAGTGCGCTCATCTATTTTGAAACTGGGAAATTAAAAATTAAAATAAAGTTTTTATTTACTATGCAAATACATCTGCAAACCCATCATGAAGTAAAGATAAATCAGTGCCAAAGGAGCTCTTTCTCCCAGCCCTCTAATCCTGGCAGGTTTGCGGTTCGCAGAGGGGAGCCCCTGGAAAGCTGGGCCTGCAGGGACTGGCGGCGGCTGCCCCAACGCGCCCCATCGCACACTAGGAGGCAGCACCATGCCGAGGAACCTGCAGTGGACGGGAAGGCGGGGTGTGCGCCCCGGGCAAGTGCCCTCGCCCGCCGGCGTCCCATAGGAAAATGGGGGCGAGGGCAGCCTCGCGGGACAGCTGCGGGAGGATTAAATGAACAAGTGCAGGTTCACCTTCTGGGCGCTGACAGCGATCTGTGGGCGCTCTCGAAATGCCAAGTCGCCGTTCCACTCGCTCCCACAAAAGTTTTGGGAGTCACGCGGCGTGGCGGGAGGGCTTCTGAGACCTCGAGCGGTCGCACCCAGAGAACCCCGAAGCTTCTCCAAAGCCCGGCCAGCGGCTCCCAGCGCGGGGTGTGCGGGGACTACAGTTTCCAGAGTGCCCTGCGGCGACGGGCGGAGCCGGGGAGCACCCGCAGCCAATTAGGGGGTCTCGGGGCGCTGCCGGGGAGCGGCAGGTGGAGCCCGGCCGGTGGGTGGGCGCGGGGACGGTCCCCCGGAACGGGTCCGGGGCTCCTCGCGGGCAGGGCCGGCGGGGGCTGCGGGGCCGACACGAGGGAGGCGGCCCCGGGGACAGGACAGGGCGGGGGCGGGGACGCGGCCGCTTGCGCGGTTCCGGGTGCTCCCGGCGCGGCGCGCCCGAAGCGCACTTGATCGAGATCGAGCTGCGGGGAAGGGCGGATCTGGGGAGAACCCCGGGAGCCGCGGCGTCCTCCAACTCCTCCTCCTCCTTCTCCTCGCGGCCGCCAGAGCCACAGCCACAGCCAGAGCCCGAGCCTGAGCCGGCGCCACCGCGCCCCTGGCCATGGCTTTCGCCAATTTCCGTCGCATCCTGCGCCTGTCTACCTTCGAAAAGAGAAAGTCCCGCGAATACGAGCATGTCCGCCGCGACCTGGACCCCAACGAGGTGTGGGAGATCGTGGGCGAGCTGGGCGACGGCGCCTTCGGCAAGGTTTACAAGGTGAGGGCGCGGAGGTGGCTGACCGGGCGCTAGTCGAGGGGCTCCGGAAGGAAGGGGCGCCAGCCCCGGCCCGGGTCATCCTGACTCTGGTTCTGAGGGCTGAACTCCGGGTTCCTGGCTCCCGACCCGGTGACTCTTTTTCTATCGGGGGAAGAGCACTCGACCCGGCCGAGTCCCCGTGTTCTGGGCGCCCCCTCTGGGCACGGCCGCCGCCCCCGCCCAGCCCTGTTTCAGAGCACTTCCTGTGCGTCCCGCACTGCGCTCGGCGCCGCGCGGGGAGACAAAGGGGCGCTGACAGGACCTCAGCATCCGAGAGGGCCACTCGAGGCACCTTCCCGGAACCTTCCGTAAAACTGTGATACGGGGCACACTTTTTAAAAAGAAAGACCACACAGATGCTGTGGGAATATCGAGGCGACGGGGACCGAGAAACTCGGCTGCGCTTGGAAGGGTTGGGAGTTGAGGACACAACTGAAGATGAGCCAGAGACTGGGAAGGGGAGTGGGATGGCCTCTGGAGTGAGAGGTGGGGCCGGGCAGAGGGGGAGGTCCGGGTCTGGTGAATGCCGACCCGCGGGGAACAGATTTGATTCCGTCGGTCTGAGTCACAGCTGGGGAGTCTCCCAGTCTGCAGTCACCTCTCCCTTAGAGGAAGACGGGGCAGAGAGCTTTTGTGGAGTGGATGAGGCAGAGCTGATTGAATCTAGAGAAGTGAGACAAGAGGACGTTGGTTTCTGTTGCTGGGAGCTAATTCTGAGGTGCTGAATTGTTTTAGGGAGCCAACACCTACAGCTTGATTTCTTCCTTTCCCTTAAGAAAACTTTTACTGGGAGACTTCCACTTGTTAAATTCGTGTATATCTCCTGGAGAGCACCTCTCTCCTAAGCCACCATCCTCCTCCTTGGGGCTCCTGTAGCTTGTGGGCCACTCTGACCCCAGGATTGCCCTTCTAGGAGGCTGGACCACAGAGAAGGCTTCTCCTCTGACTTGAAAGTGGTCTATTGTCTAGTTACCAAAATTATTCCTAGATGACCAATGATAGCATCATTTGGGAGCTTGTGAGAAGTGAAAAATCTCAGCTGGGAGCGGTGGCTAATGCCTGTAACCTCAGCGCTTTGGGAGGCCAAGTTGGGCAGATCACAAGGTCAGGAAATGGAGAACATCTTGACCAACATGGTGAAACTCCGTCTCTACTGAAAATACAAAAAAATTAGCCTGGGGTGGTGGTTCGTGCCTGTAGTCCTAGCTACTCTGGAGTCTGAGGCAGAATTGCTGGAACCCAGGAGGCAGAGGTTGCAGTGAGCTGAGATTGCACCACTGCACTCCAGCCTGGGCAACAAGAGCAAAACTCAGTCACACACACATACACACACACAAATAGAAGTGAACAATCTCAGGCCCAGCTCAGACCTGCTGAATTAGAGTCTACATTTTAATAAGATCCCAGGTGATTCCTAAGCAAATAGGTTTGAGATGTACTGCCCTAGAGACTCGGAGTGTTGGCAATGTTTTCCTTTTTCTTTTCTTTTTGAGATAGGGTTTTCCTCTGTTGCCCAGTCTGGAGTAGAGTGGTGCGATCTTGGCTCACTGCAACCTCTGCCTCCTGAGCTCAAGCGATTCTCATGTCTCGGCCTCCTGAGTAGCTAGGACTACAGGTGCACACGACAGCCTGGCTACATTTTTTGTTTTTTGTAGAGTTGGGGTTTGGCCATATTGCCCAGGCTGGTCATGAACTCCTTAGCTCATGAGGTCAGCCTGTCAGCCTCCCAAAGTGTTGGGATTACAGGCGTGAACCACGGCACCTGACCTGGAGTGGTGGCAATTTTGAGACCAACCAGGTCCACCTGGTGCCTCTTTTTTTTTTTTCTTTTTTTGAGACGGAGTCTCACTCTGGCGAGCAAGCTGGAGTGCAGTGGTTTGATCTCAGCTCGCTCCAGGCTCCACTTCCCAGGTTCAAGTGATTCTCCTACCTCAGCCACCACGCCTGGCTAATTTTTGTGTTTTTAGTAGAGACAAGGTTTCACCATGTTGTCTAAGCAGATCTCGAACTCCTGACCTCAAGTGATCATCTACCTGCCTCAGGCTTCCAAAGTGCTAGGATTACAGACATGAGCCACCGTGCTTGGTCCGGTGCCTCTTTTGTTACCTCACCACCTTCCGTCTGAGCCCACACTTCCTGTTATGGGGTGGGAAGAGGTCTTGCAATGAGAGGCAGTGTTTTTGGACTGCCCCCACTTGCTGTCCTCCTGTGCCTGAGGGCCTTGTGCATATTTGAGGGCAGCCAGCTCACCCTCTCCTCAGCACACCTTTTCTTTACTCTTCTCAGAGCTGCATCTTCCTCCTAGTGGCACCAGAGAAGGGTCCTCAGCCTTGTACCTCTCCCTGGACAGTGTCAGTGCCTTTGCCTGACTTAGACAGGGCCTGCTCCTGCAGCTGTGTTCTGACTGCCGTGAAGGTAGCTGGACCTTTGGTCAGCTCACCACAGGACCCATATTCTCCAGAATGTTCAGTTGGTGTTTATAGTGTATGCTGTTCGCTCTCAGTGTTTTGTTTGTTTCTTCATTAGGGAAATGCATTTTGTTTCTTTCAATTGCCTTCTTGTCCCCTTCCCTGCAATGTATCCTGGCTTCATAGGGTTCATCTTCCATTAAATTTAAATGCAGAACTTTGCTTTTATGCTGGTAAAGATTTCCCCTTGTCATTTTCGGTTGTGTTTCGGCCTGCTTTAGCCCGCTAAGACTCCCCTGCTACTCTGAAAGTTTCATACAAAGGAATTCATCCAGTTCACAAGCTATACTGTCTCCTCTTGGTTCTCCAAAGCATGTGGAACGTCAGTTTTTTAAAAAGTGACTCCAGGGCCAGGTGCTGTGGCTCACCCCTGTAATCCCAGCACTTCAGGAGGCCGAGGTGGGTGGATCACTTGAGGTTAGGAGTTTGAGACCAGCTGGGGCAACATGGCAAAACCCCAACTCTACTAGAAATGCAAAAATAAAAAATGAAAAATTAGCTGGGTTTGGTGGTGCATGCCTGTAATCCCAGCTACTTGGGAGGCTGAGGCAGGAGAATTGCTTGAACCTGTGAGGCAGAGATTGCAGTGATAAGATCGCACCACTGCACTTGAGCCTGGGTGACAGAGGGAGACTCCATCTCAAAAACAACAACCACAACAAAAAGATGACTTTAATTCTCAAAGTTATGAGCTGGCTCCACCACAGCCCTTTCCCCCTACCTCTCTGAATCCACAATTTTCTCTTATTTAAGGGAGAGCCAGACCAAGAGGGCTATGTGATGGCTGATAGACCTGAGCAATCTATTCTGTTACCTACTTGGCCTTAGCCCCTCTGACCTAAGCCAACCCCATATGCCTTGGTGCCCAGAGAAGAGAAGGGACTAGCATCCAGGGCTCTGGGCCTCAGTTGAACACTTTCCTTAGTCACCAGCTAAGGAAGACCCATCCTGGATCAGAGATCACTGTCACCCAGGCTGCCTACTCTGGAGAGGTGCTGTTGACTCACCTCTCCTGGCTGAAGTCGAAGCAGGTATTGCTTTTACTAAAGACCCCTCTAATCAAGGACCACGACTCCTGCCCAGGTGGTTTGGTTGTTCCCTGGCCTGGTCACTGAAGTAACCCAAACCAAACATTCCATCTTGGTTTTGTGGCCGGAACCAGAGATTCCGTTTTGACACAGCACCTGAGAGAGCAGTTGGCAGGGAGCTGAGGAGGGACCGCCAGCAGTACTCTTTTTCTTCTGACAGCCTCGGTGATGAAGGCTTCCTGAGGTCTTTCCCGGCCTTGGAAATTTGAATTTATCGACACTGTTGGGGAGGACTCTAAGATTCCAGATTTCCTGATGAACCTTCACATTAGCAGTCTCCGAGATATCAAGCCTCTTTTTTCCTCCTCTCACTGATAAGTCTTTATCTATCTGCCTCAGGAGAAAGGTAGGAGGATAGGATTGATTTTGTGCAACGTCAAGCTCATTCTCACCTAATCCCTTTGTGATTGCAGATTGGTTTCAAAAGAAAACCATTCTTAGTTCATTACAAGAATACAAAGTGGGCTGGGTGCAGGTGTGGTAATCCTAGCCTGTAATCCCAGCACTTTGGGAGGCTGAGGTGGGCGGATCATGAATTCAGATGTTCAAGACCAGCCCAGCCAATATGGTGAAGCCCCATCTCTATTAAAAATACAAAACATTAGCCGGGCATGGTGGGACATGCCTGTAAACCTGTAATCCCAGCCATTCGGGAGGCTGAGGCAGGAGAATCATTTGAACCTGCGAGGCAGAGGTTGCAGAGAGCCAAGATTGTGCCACTGGCACTCCAGCCTGCACAACAGAGCAAGACTTTATCTCAAAAAAAATAAAAAAAAAAGTAAAGTTTACAAGCTATTTGGTTTTAAAATTCTTATCACTGAAAATAATCCTAATTTTGAAGAGGAAGTAGAAAGGGGAAAAGGTGATAGGTTGAGTGGGAAAACTGACTTTAGTGGGGTGTGCTTGCTGTTAGAGCAGCAGGCAGCACAGGTGCTCATGCACCCAGTGTGGACAGGGAACACGAGAAATGAAAGGAGTTGGGTTAGCAGGCGGAGATGATTTTTCTGCTTCTCTTTGTTTGTTTTCAGAGGCAGTGTCTTATTCTGTCACACAGACTGGAGTGCAGTGGCACCGTCGTTGCTCACTGTAGCCTCAAACTCCTGGGCTCAGGGGATCCTCCTGCCTCAGCCTCCAGAGTAGCTGTGACTATGGACACACGCCACCACACCTGACTAATTTTAATTTTTATAGAGACTGGGTCTTGCTGTATTGTCCAGGTTGGTCTTAAACTCCTACATCAAGTGATCCTCCTGTCTCAGCCTTCCGAAGTGCTGGGATTACAGGTATGAGCTACTGAGCCTGGTATCCTCCTTAAAAATTGCTTTGCCAGTCTGAGCAACATGATGAAACTCCATCTCCACCAAAAATGCAAAGAATTGGCTGGGCACAGTGGCTTACACCTGTAATCCCAGCACTTTGGGAGTCCGAGGCAGGCAGCTCATGAGGCCAGCCTGGCCAATATGGTAAAACCGAGTCTACTAAAAATACAAAAATTAGCCGGGCATGGTGGTGGGCACCTGTAATCCCAGCTACTCAGGAAGCTGAGGCAGGAGAATCTCTTGAAAATGGAAGGGGGAGATTGCAGTGAACTTCGATAGCACTGCTGCACTCCAGCCTGGGCTAAAGAGTGAAACTCCATCTCAAAACAAAATAATGATAAAAAATTAGCTGGGCGTAGTGGCATGGGCCTGTGGTCCCAGCTACTCAGGAAGCTGAGGTGGGAAGATCACTTGAGCCTGGGTGGCAGCAGTTGCAGTGAGCTGAGATCCTGCCACTGCACTCTAGCCTAGGAAACAGAATGAGACCCTGAGACCCAGTCTCAAAACAAACAAATGAACAAAAAATAGAAAATTGCTTTGGTTTTGATTTTTTGTTGTTTTCACACTTTTTTTTTCAAGATGGAGTCTTGCTCTGTCACCCAGGCTAGAGGGCAGGGAGGCAGTCTCAGCTCGCTACAACCTCCGCCTAGCGGGTTCAAGCAATTCTCCTGTCTCAGCTTCCTAAGTAGCTGGGATTACAGGTGCACACCACCACGCCTAGCTAATTTTGTATTTTTAGTAGAGACGGGATTTCACCATGTTGGCCAGGCTAGTCTTGAACTCTTGACCTTGTCATCTGCCCTCCTTGGCCTCTCAAAGTGCTGGGATTACTGGGATGAGCCACCAAGCCCAGCCTTTTTAAACCTTTAAAAAATTTAGGCTGGGAGCGGTGGCTCATGCCTATAATCCCAGCACTTTGGGAGGCCGAGACGGGTGGATCACGAGGTCAAGAGATCGAGACCTTCCTGGTCAACAAGATGAAACCCTGTCTCTACTAAAAATACAAAAATTAGCTGGGCATGGTGGTGTGCGCCCGCAGTCCCGGCTACTCAGGAGGCTGAGGCAGGAGAATTGCTTGAAACCAGGAAGTGGAGGTTGCGGTGAGCCGAGATCGTGCCATTGCACTCCAGTCTGGGTAACAACAATGAAACTCCATCTCAAAAAAAACAAAAAAAATTTATTATTTTGCAAAACTGGGAGTTTACCAAACAAATAGTAACATTAAAAAGAAAAAAAATGCTCTAGGTTCTATCAATGTCTGTTGACATTTTGATGTATTTCCTTCTAGACTTTCGATGTTACGGTGAAATTTTTTTTTCCTGCTTGGTTGTAATCATATGTATCTATAGTGTTTTATGGTATCTTTCATTTCTAACCGTATTGTTCTAAATGTTTCACACATACCTTCCAGGATGGCTCAGGGCCCTCTTAATCCTAATCCTTTTTTTTTGTGACAGTGTCTGGCTCTGCTGCCCAGGCTAGAGTGGAATGGCACAATCTGGGCTCACTGCAACCTCTGCCTCCCAGGTTCAACTGATTCTCCTGCCTCAGCCTCCCAAGTAGCTAGGAGTACAGGTGCACGCCACCATGCCCAGCTATTTTTGTGTTTTTAGTAGAAATGAGGTTTTGCCATGTTGGCTAGGCTGGGTCTTGAACTCTTGACCTCATTTCATTCACCTGCCTCGGCCTCCCAAGATGCTGTGGTTACAGGTGTGAGCCACTGCACCTGGCCATCTTGAACCTAATCTTATTGGATATTTAAGTAATTATCTCCCCCTTATTATTATTACTATTATTTACTATTAAGAAGTTAAAATATGGCTGGGCGTGGTGGCTCACACCTGTAATCACGACACTTTGGGAGGCCAAGGTGGGAGGATCACCTGAGGTCAGGAGTTTGAGACCAGCCTCGCCAACATGGGGAAACCTTGTCTCTACTAAAAATACAAAAATTAGCCTGCCATGGTGGCAGGTGCCTGTAATCCCAGCTACTCGGGGAGGCTGAGGCAGTAGAATTGCTTGAACCCAGGAGGCAGAGGTTGCAGTGAGCCGAGCTCGTGCCATTGCACTCCAGCCTGGGGGTTAGAGCAAGACTCTGTCTCAAAAAAGGAAAAAAAAATTAAAATAGATTAAATAACCATATGCCAGACACTGTGCTAGGCACTTTACTTAATATGTAATAGAAGACAATTATGCCTTTATAAAAACCACAGAGCTATGCAAAATCATGCAGTAAAAACTAGAGGTCTTGTGGGAAGAATGGGGTTGAGAGCACAACACTCAAGTACTTCATCAGTGGCATCTTTTAAAAAAAGTTCAGAATCTAAAAACCAGTAGTGCAGTTTTACACAAGTTACATGGAGAAGACACACACACACACACACACACACACACATGCTGCAGTAAGTAGGCATTTTACTTAAAAAAGATGTGCAGCATGGGTGGGCGTGGGTGCTGGGAAGGCAGCAGTGTGGGAAGCTGTGGAAGGAGGTGCGTGCACATATCATCTGATGGCAGATGCACATGGGTGGGGCTCAAAGGTGGTTGATGGATGTTGGAGGTGTGTGCCTGTGTGTTTTGTGCATTCTTTCAACACCCAGATCAGCTGAAAGCAGTTTTGTGCGTTCACCTACTGTGTTCACTTGCTGTTTCAGTACGTAAGCAAACACAACCTTAGCTGATGCTGAGTTACTCCCCAGCATGTCAATGGTGTTGAAGCAAAGTTGGCAGGTTCAAAATAACGGTTTTTACAGACCTGACTGTATCTTGATGAACAGCTTTGTACAGTTCTTGCTGTATTTTATTTTATTGGAGACGGAGACTCACTCTGTCCCCTGGACTGGAGTGTACTGGTGTGATCTCGGCTCACTGCAACCTCTGCTTCCTGGGTTCAAGTGATTCTCCTGCCCCAGCCTCTTGAGTAGCTGGGATTACAGGTGTGTGCCACCATACCGGGTTAATATATGTATACATATATTTTCTGATTTTAATAGGGCCGGGGTTTCATCATGTTGGCCAGACTGGTCTGGAATTCCTGGAATTCCTGACCTCAAGTGATCCACCCGCCTTGGCCTCCCAAAGTGCTGCGATTACAGACATGAGCCACTATGCCTGGTTGTTACTGTATTTTAAATTATTTTTTAGGCTAGATATATATATTTTTTCAGATGGAGCCTCAGTTTTTTGCCCAGGCTCTAGTGTAGTGGCACTATCTTGGCTCACTGCAGCCTCTGCCTCCCAGGTTCAAGTGATTCTCCTGCCTTGGCCTCCCGAGTAGCTGCCATTACAGGTGCCCGCCACTGTGCACAGGCTAATTTTTGTATTTTTAGTAGAGATGGGATTTTGCCATGTTGGCCAGGCTGATCTCGAACTCCTGACCTCAGGTGATCTGCCCACCTCCTCCTCCCAAAGTGCTGGGACTACAGATGTGAGCCACCATGCCCGGCCTAGGCTAGACTTTGAAAGGGAATTACTACGTCAAAGCGTATGCCTAATGGAGGGTGATTTAAAAAATAAAAAGAGAGAAATTAATACAGGTCTCTTGTCTCTTGCTATTGCTGAGGACCAATCCCCAAGTCTTAGACCCTTTAAGTACATAGGGGGCCTTGGCAGCTGCTGTGCAGAGCTTAGATGCCCTTGCTGTGTGCTGGCTTTAGGAGTGATGTGACATTCTGCCCTCCTTGCCTGGTTGAGAGGAAGCCCAGGTTATGTGAGGCACGAGCCCTCCCAGGCCTTCTTGCCCCTCCTTGGGCCAGGGGCCTTCTCCTTTCACCTCCTCTCCTGCCTACTAGTTTGAAAGCCTGGGTTTCCGCTTCCTCTGGGCTGCCCAAGGTCTCAGTGCTCCCCTCCTCCTCCGGAAAGAGATCTGCCCTCAGGCAGTAACCTTGTTTCCGCTCAGCCAAGTATTTTTAAACCCAAGTCCATGCTATTGTGAGTGGATTTCTGACTTGTGACTCAGCCCCCAAACGAAGGGGGACTGAGCTTCCTGGAGATGACTCCCTTCAAGGGGGTCTGGCTTCTGTGTGGG